TGCCCCCTTAGAATTTGTGACGTCAGCGGTGATCTAACGATTTTAAAACCTTATACTAACATCTTTGTAAAGCAGTGGTGGTATATGCTATTTGCGCGCAACATCTGCCGCGAACGCCGCACTTCCAAAATGAAGTCGCTAGGAACAGCGGAGATCCAAAAAAAGTAAACAAAAGTAAAAGTCTAATATCTTGAAAACCGGTGAATATTTTTCGGTGAAATTTGGTAGATATTCGTTTTTGCTCTTTCTGAATCGAGCGACATCACTTTCATGCCAATTCATTAACTTTTTTGAAGGTGGGAGGGTCCCTTTAAAGGCGGCAACCTACCAGTTCAATGACCTAGTCATCACTGCGGCGGCCAGGGCTATCCCCTGTGGCGCCAGGCGTGACCCTGTGCCGTGGTGGACCGAGGAGGTGGACGAGGCCGTCAGGAGACGGGACGAGCTCCGAGCCCAGGCCAAGGCAGACCCGGCGGCCGGCGCGGCCTGGAGAGAAGCGGCCAAGGAGGCGAGCCTCACCATCACCAAGGCGCGGCAGGAGTCCTGGCGGACGTTTGCGTCCGGGCTGTCGCTCCGCTCCGATGTGGGCCAGGTGTGGTCCACCATCCGAGCCATAGACGGCCGCTCCGCCACTACGAGAAGGGATGACGCCACACTCCGGGTGGGGAACCGCCGGACCTCTAAGGACAGCGAGAAGGCGGACGCTTTCATGCGCGTGTACAGCGCCGTCAGCCACCTACCGCCACGAGTCCGGGAGGACCGGCGAGTGACCCACGAACTGACGGACTTCCTCCGCACGCCCTGCACCCAGTGCGGCCACAGTAGACGGGGATGCTGCTCCCCGTTCTCCGAGGCGGAAATGACGGAGGAACTGAGCCGGCTCCCCGCGAGGAAGGCCGCCGGACTGGACCGCATCGCTAACGAGATGCTGGTCCGTCTGGGGACAAGAGGTCGTGCCAGGCTCCTTCAACTCCTCAACTTCTCCTGGATGAGGGGCGAGCTACCCTCCATCTGGACCAAGGCAGAAATCGTCCCGATCCTGAAAAAAGGCAAACCACCCGACCACGTCAAGTCCTACCGCCCCATCAGTCTGCTGAGCTCGACGTCGAAGCTGCTGGAACGCCTCATCAACCGCCGCCTGATGTATCTGCTGGAACACCGCCAACTCCTGAACCCCAACCAGGCCGGCTTCCGGAAACACAGGTCGACGGAGGATCAGATTCTGAGGCTGGTACAGGCGACGGCGGATGGCCTTGAAGAAAGGAAGCGGACCCTGCTGGTGACGGTGGACTTCTCCACAGCCTATGACAAGGCATGGCGCACGGGCCTCCTCTGGAAGATGTCCCGCCTCGGGCTCCCCCGTTGCTACGTAGCATGGTTCCGGGCCTTCCTCCGGGACCGTCAAGCATGCGTGAGAATAAACAACACAAGGAGCAAGTTCCGGGTTCTCCGCGACGGCACCCCCCAGGGCGCGGTGACATCCCCGGCGCTGTTCAACCTATTCATCAACGACATCACCGACGACTTCCCACCGGGCGTGTCGGCGTCGCTGTACGCCGACGACCTAGCCATCTGGTGCAGCGACCGTGACGTCTCTGCCGCCGAGACCAAGGTGCAGCGTGCCCTGGACAGCCTGGAGGAGTGGGCCCGACGCTGGAAAATGGTGGTCAGCCTGGAGAAGACTACCTCCACTATCTTCACGCTTGACCCAGCTGAGGCACGGCGAGAAGCGGCGCTCCATTTCCAGGGCCAACCAGTGAAGTTCTCCCCCACCACGACGTTCCTGGGCATCACCCTCGATAGGAGCCTCACCTTCACGGGACATGTGAAGACGATCAAGGCCAAGATGCTCCAAAGGAACAACGTCCTCCGGGCCATCAGCGGCACGACGTGGGGCTGCTCACCGTCTGATCTGCGCAGCACATACCTCGCCTTCTCTCGCGCCTGCGCCGACTACGCCGCCGGTGCTTGGATGCCCGGCCTCAGCGAGTCTGGCCTGAGGGAGCTGGAAACGGTGCAAAGACAGGCGTGCAGGACAATCACCGGATGTGTCAGATCCACACCAGTGGACGCCCTGGCCAGAGAGGCGGATCTCCTGCCTTTCTCGGCGCGGCGGAGGCAGTTGGCGGCTGTGGCGATGGAGCGCCACTCCCGGGACCTACCAGGCGACCCTGTGCAGCGGATCCTCCTCCCTGAGAACCGCCCCCGGCAACGTCTGCGCTATGACAGAGGATGGGCACGGACGGGCCAAGAGATATCCAAAGACGCCGGCCTAGACGACTTCCCACGCGAGCCGTTCCTGGTGGTTGCCAGCACCCCTCCCTGGGAGTCACCGCCACCTCCAACGGTCCTCTTCCACACTGGACTTGTGAGGCCGCTACCGCAAAACGCCCCCGCCGAACAGCGACGGACTGCCGCCGAGGAGACGCTAGCCGGACTGCCGAACCCGGACGTCCAGGCTTTCACGGACGGCTCGGCCACAGCCGGCACAGAACGAGGCGGAGCAGGGGCAGTCGTCTATAGGAGCGGCAGGGAAGTGAAGAGGATCCGAGCGCCAGCGGGGCGCTTCACGTCGAGCTACACAGCGGAGCTTCTCGCTCTACGAGAGACACTCAAATACATCGAGTCCATCCTCACCGATCAAGACCCTGCACTCAATATCCAGCTGTGCACCGACTCCCTATCATCCCTCATGCGTCTGAGGGAAGGCCCGGCCAACCAGACTGAACGGGTCGCTGACCAAGTCTGGCTATCCCTCCGGCGACTAGGACGACGCCACCGCGTGGACCTTCAGTGGGTTCCCGGTCACGCGGGAGTCGCCGGCAACGAGATCGCCGATGCCGTGGCCAGGGAGGCCGCTGAGCTGCCGCAGGACGGGACGCCCATCACCTTCGCGGCGGCCAAGAGCCTGCTGAAGCGCCACGTGAGCAGAGAGTGGGTGGAGAGCACGCGCCACTCCCGACCGGCGCCCGCGACCCGCCCGCACCTAAGCCACGACTACCACGATGTCGTCGGCCCGGGCAGGGTCAGGCTGGCAGACAGGCTCGGCCTGTCTAGGAGAGAGGGCACCGCTCTGGCGCGCCTCCGGACCGGCCACTCTCCTGCCCTGCAAGCTTACCGTCACTTCATCGGGGCGGAGGAGGACGATGGGTGCCCGACCTGCGACGGCGGAGTCAGGGAGGACGCGGAACACTTCCTGACGTCGTGCCCCGCGACGGCCCGCGTCCGTCACGACGTTTTCGGGAGAGAGGACCCGACGCTGCGGGAGGTCTTCGCTGACCCATGCCGGGTTATCGAGTTCCTGCGGCGCCTGGGCCGACTATAGAGCGCCCACGGCGCTGGACACTCTGGCGGGGTGCTGGGTTCTCCGGCCCTACCCGGCGTCTGAGTCCGCCGGAACCCGCCCGGGGGCCTGCTGCCCTCCCTGCGCGGACGTCGCAAGTGTCGCCCCCGAGGGGGGCTGGGGCCCTCACGGGCCCCCCATGTGGGCCCACCGGGCCCGACGGCCGGAACGACAACAACAACAACAACCACTATAGCTGGACCACACGCGCTCCGCCAGCCTGCGGCCTCCCCCCTAACTTTGTACGGCGGCCCGTCTGGCCAGACCGGGACGGTGCCGTTCCATGGCATATGCCGTCCCGGCCCCGGGGAGAGCTGTGGGATACCTCCCCGGGCCGGGGAGATCTGGTGGATACCTCCCCGGAGATCTGGTGGATACCTCCCCGGAGATCTGGTGGATACCTCCGTGACCTGTGATGACCTGACCCTGACCTGAAAATCAAAGTACAAGTTTGGTACCCTCAAGGTATCTAGAGCATCTGTTTCACGAGTGTGTATACCAAAAATGAGTCTGATCTGACCTGTAAGACGGAGGCCAGAGTCCAAAATGTGAACAAGCCAAAATGCTAATAATTTTTACTTTGACCTGACCTGTGACGTCATCGGTGACCTCGAAGTCAATGAAATTAGATTTCGTTCAACAGTTTTTCCGGGGCTATCAGACGCCGTTTGAATTTTAACGATCGGCCCAGTAGTTTCGGAGTTAGGAGGGGGACTATGGAGAGCCCCCCCCCCCCCCCAGTAGGGCGTGTTATACGCAGACCCCAGTGGGGCGCGGGTTAAGCTAGCAAAAAAAGTATATCATTCGACGCGCCTTGACGTGCTGAGTTCGCTGGTGCTTTTCTTTTTGCTCTATCTTAATTAGATCAAATGTTGGAAGCGAAAAACTTCTGACTTGTTTTTAGCGAAATTTTGACATTTATACCCCAGGCCCTAAAACCACCTAAATATTGACCTAGAGCAACCAAATTTACACAGGGACGAGCACTCCAGGGGACCCACCTACCTACCAAACTTGGTGTTTCTAAGTGCCATAGGAGCCAAACGCGGGGGGGGGGTTGCATCACCCCCCCTGCCAGGCCGCGCTATGAAAAATGACCTGCCAGGGCGAGGGTTAAGAGGTGTCTTGAGTCTTGACACCTTTTTTGGCACCCAATAGACAAAAGACCTTTAAGGGTGTACCTATAGCAAAATTTATCTTGCTGGGGTATCATACAGGGGTCAGCTATGACACCCATAACACTTGAAAAGGTGTCTGGCACCGGTATTTGATACCCAATAATGCCCCAATAACAGTAAGCAGCCCCCGCAGCGTCCCAGGTCGCCTTTCCGTATCCGCCTAATAGCACATGCTAATTAAAACAGCCACGTGAACAAGAAACCCACTGATGTGAAAACAGGTCAGTTGGGCTGGCTGATGCATTTTTTCACGTCAGCGGTTACTATGTTCATGTGGCTGCCGAATCCGGAGTCGACTTGAGACAAAACTAATAACCAGTAACCGCAGCCGGCGATTTTTATATTGGTAAAGTGGCATCTGGTCAAGTTTTACGATGGGCTGAAACATGAACATGAAATGAAAATACGGAGATGAAATAGTGCATGAGGTGTAAAATATATGAGTTGTAATGCTCCAAGCATGGCGGCAGTGCACTCACATGCAGGCGCATTCCTTCGTCGACCGGGAAGGAGCCAAACAGGGCCGTCTCGCTGTCCAAGTAGCAGACGAACTGATCCTGCTTGTCCAGAAGCGAGAGTCGCATGGTGGCTGCCGAGCCGCCAGTCACCAGCTCTAGCTTGTTCTGCACACCCCCAGTACAGACACACATACGGTCAGCGTTTGGCATCTCCGAAGGGGCGGGACAGCCCGCCCAATTTATGGACGACATGGACCGTAAAACATGTGTCACGTGACCGAAGCATCATATGAACATCCATGACCTAGCTTTGACCTGAAAAATATTGAAGTTCGGTACCATCAGGCAGTGGCGTAGCCAGAGATCAGCGAGAGGGGGGCCATGGTGCTAGAGGGGGCGACTTTTTCCCTTGCCAGAGGGGCGCGATTGTAAGCTAGTGACAGTCTAAAATGTAACGATGTTCATGCATAATTTACTAGGTGTTACAAAATACGAGTATACATTTCATGCATGAACATCGTTCATGTAACGATGCGTTGACCTTCAAAGGTCATTTTGAAAATTTGGCCTCAGGTCAAGGTCATGACCTGACCGGAAAGGGTCATGCTGCATATCAGTCGATCTGTATCGTCGAGCTGAACACATCTGACGTGTTTTCAACGTCTAGCACGTCTCTATCAAAAGTTATAGCCAAAGAACTGCTGGTGACCGTTCATGACCTGAGATGACCTCAGGGGCACACCGAAGGGTCACAGGTGCATTTTCCGATTCAATGTGTTACGTTTACCTATGAACCGATGTTTGAGAGGGTTTTGAACCACATTCGTCCAAAAGAGGCGCATTTCAATTTTATCCAATTGTCTTATAATAGAGAGGTCGCAAAATTGACCTGACCTTAGGTCATAGATATCAAAAGCCTGAGATAAACATTTTATACATATTGTTAGTCTTATCTATCTCTGAAAGTTTCAAAATTGATCGTTCAGTCGGTGTAGCTATAGCGAGCCTTTAAACTTTTTCTTAGGTTCCTAAGGTCACTTAACGAGACCTGACCTTGAACGACCCGGGTCTAAAATTTTCACAAGATGTGTGGAAAAGATGTATGAACAGGTGTACCAAAAACGGCGGCGGGTGGCGCTGCGCGACGCCGTTTTTGAGCTATTCGCAAAAAAAAAACTAGAGGGGGGCGTAAAAACGCCCCCCCCCAGCACGACGCGGGTTAATAGGAGAAAATTGAAATACTCTTCTTCTGAACGAAAACACCCTCAAACATTGGGGTACAGGGGTAAATATGACACATTTAATCGGAAAATTTCACTCGTGATGTGACCACTTTTATGTCACTGAGGTCATCTCAGGCAATGAAAGGTCTCCAGTAGTTTTTGGACAATAACTTTTGATAGAGATATAGTACAGCAATGAAACACCTTATAAAATTATTTTCTTTCTCGACAATACGGATCGACTTATATGCAATATGACCTTTCCCGGTTAGGTGATGACCTGCACCTTAGGTCAAATTCTCAAAATGCCCTTTTGATGTCAAATTTTAGTTCATTTGATTCGTCTCGCAAAATGAAACACGATTCCGGTAATCTCGTGCAGGTCTGAGCCAAAGGGTATTACAGATAAACGTCCTCCGTGAAAACGTATATTTTGAGGCTAAAACGTTTACCTTAGGTCTAATCTGAGATAATTGATAAGAAAGAGCATAAAAAGAGGTATCAAATGCGCTTTGCTGCGGGGCTGTAGCTCAATCTCTTGCTGAATCTTGACTTATGCGCCGCTTTGTCGAAAAGTGTCAAAATCGGCGAACTTTGATTTTCGGTTCCCTCTGGTGACCTGACCTAATACACCTTTTTGCGTTAGATTTTGACCATTGGGCAAAACATTTGTACACATTCGCCATATAGATGGCGCTACAAATGGGCGGTTGGTCAAAAAGAATCACCATTGTGCAAAACTGTTTGGCGATTCTCCTCTACAACTCGACATTGAGCGAATGGTTCAACAAAACAAATCGTCAATGGTCGAAACTATTCGTCATTGAGCAGCCGGGAATTCATGACTGGCCAAAACCGTCTATGGAAATTTCAGCATTCAGAAAAACACATCAGCAATGATCAAAACAAATGATCGTGTGCACTGACGGCCGCAGGGGGTATGGAGCAGCTCATAGGACCCAATCCTTGACATTTCCCTCATATAACCGAGTGGATGATGGAACAAGCACAGTCACACCAGGCGGCCATGTAAGTGTTCACTGGACGAGATCGACCTCAGCCGGTACACCCAGCATATACGTTCGGCTGAGCCCGGGAGCTCACCATATTTCTTTGTGCGCATGAGTCCTACACTTAACAGATAAACAACACCTTGCGCTCATGCTAAGTCGGCTGAACGGTATTGCCTTGGGGCTCGAAATGAGATAGGCATCACAAATTGGCGAAACCTTGCCCTCGTGAGGGAGTTCCAGGATATCAAGGCGACTGTCATGGCAGATGTGCACGGCGTTCGTCAGCTTCCGCCATGAGGATAGTTTGTTTATTCGATGTGCCAATAAAGAGCTCGTCTTTGAATAGGTTATTTACATAATTATAACTTTTGTAATAAAGTGCCCACCGACCAACGTAGGCGTGCTAGGTTGGAATGGTGCATTGACGGAAATGACTTCAATGCATGCATTTCACATATTGATTTCAGCTGTACGTGTAGCATTGCAAGCAGAAACAAAAAACCCGAAGGGAGCACATTGTTTTTTTCTTGTTTGTTCTTTCTTGAAATGAAACACACGACGCCGGAATAGTTGTGCTCAATGCCGATTGTCGAAATGGCTCCTCAAACAGTTATGGCCAATGGTTGAATTCAATGGCAAAAAGGTGTAGTTTTTGACGCTCTTTTCGAACGCCGCCTACTGCGTGTCTCGACGTGGCCCACAAGCTGAGTTAGAAGTGGGTGTTAAGCACCCACAGCAGGTTCAATAAAAAAACGCGTACGCTGGGGGCGGCACGCACTGCTAGGCGGGGGCGGCATCGCAATAATGGGCGGCAATGCGATAAGGGGCACCACTTGCAGTGAAGGGGTGGCGCCGCATTGAGGGGCGGTATCGCAACGAGGAGTGGCAATAACGAGGCTGCCTTATAAGAAACGCTTGGCACATCCTAGCCCAGCTCGGCGCCGCCTGGCTGCTGCATCTTGAAAAGGGTCATTGGTGTCGATGAGACAGCCCAATTGTCAAATAATTACCTAGCGTCAGTGGTTTCTGGGGTGGGGAGGGGGCGCTATCGATCTTGAATGGGGCGGGGCGACTTAAGTCTCCATTCAGATGGGCGTCAGTGACTACTGGAGGGCGCCAACGAACTTGGATAGGGCGAATGTGATCTTCAAAAGGGCAACGGGTGATCTAGAGGGGTGTAATGCTTGGATGGGTCACTGCTGCCTTCAGTAGGGCGTCGGACGCTCTGATGGGGCGCCATCAATCTCGGATGGTCCGACTGGGATTTTCAGAGGGGCACCAGTGGTTTCAGAGGGGCGCCATTGATCTAAGGATAGGGCGACTGAAGTCCCGGTTCAGGTGGGCGCCAGTGGCTTTTGAGGGGCGCCAGCGACCTTGGATTGATGGGGCAACTGTGATCTTTAGAAGGCCGTTGAGGGGCGTCATTGGACATGGATGGGGCCGCTGTTGCCTTCAGCAAGACGCCGGACGCTCTAGAGGGGCGCCTTGAGCTTGGGTGGGGGCGACTGTAGTCTCAAGGGGCGTTGTCTCGGATGGGGCGAACATGATTTTCAGAGGGGCGCCGGGTACTCTAGAAGGGCGCCATTAGTTTCCGAGGGCTGCCATCGATCTTAACATGGGGCAGCTGTGATCTCCGTTTAGATGGGCGCCAGTGACTTTTGAGGGGCGCCAGCGACCTCGGATGAGGACGACTGTGATCTTCAGAAGCGCACCGGACGCTCTGGAGGGGCGTCATTGAGCTTGAATGGGGCGACTTTAGTCTCAACCGGTATGACTTCAATCTCAAGGGCGGGGGGGGGGGGGGCGCTAGTGGCTCTCTTGAGGGCGCTATTGATCTCGGATAGGGCGACTGTGATCTTGAGAAGAATGCGGGTGCTTTGGAGGGGCGCCAGTGGGTTCAGGGGGCGCCATCGATCTTGGATGGGGCCGAATGGGGCAGCTGTGAACTTCAGAGGGGCGCCATCAACCTTTAAAGGAACTATCCCACCTTTAACATGGGGTTTGAGTTGAGATAGCCAAGTTTGCGGCGAGGTTCAGAAACCACCATCTATCTAGGTTGCAACCCCCGCGGCCTCTTGGTGTTGAAGAAATTCGTTCCCTTCATTTGAAAATGGGCCTTGTACAAGGCCCTATCTTCAACATGGAGCGACCGTTAGTGTGACGTCACCTCGTTTAGTCATTCTGATTTAAATGGGTTTGTTCGTTGAAAAATCGCTTAAAACTTGGTCTGAACTTTGTTGTGGTGCCTACAGAATAAAAAGAATCAGCTTTATGACAGTAATGTGGCCTGGGGAAGGAGGTAATTTTGGGCTGTGACGTCACATATTTGAAAGTTTGTGTTTGGAATATGGGAAGCCTAAGATGTTTAATGAAAAATAAATGCCAGAACCGTGTTCCTGGTCATCCAATCTATAAAGTCGGGCACAATTTAACTGGTTTTAACAACATTTTAGATGGTGGGATAGTCCCTTTAATGGGGCGACTGTTCCGTTCAGGTGGGTGCCAGCGGCTATTCAGGGGCGCCATCGACCCTGGGGGCTCGGAATATTCTGGTTTCCGGAGGGGCGCCCTTCAGTATTGGGGGGCTCAGATCCTATTTGGGGGTGCCCTGGAGAACATTGGGGTGTTCAGGCACCCCAAAGAGATATTGAGTTCGATCCCTGCATGCACATCACTTTTCAATTCATGTTCCCTCTGTAAAACGGCATCAGCCTAGTCGGCGCTAATTGGGGCGCCATTTGGGCGGCTGGGCGGAAAGGGGGGGGGGGCATGGCCCCCATGGCACCCCCCCCCTGTCTACGCCACTGCCCTCAGGGTATCTTCTTATTTACGTGTGTGTAAACCAAAAATGAGCCCGATCTGACAAGTTAACCGGCGGCCAGAGCCAAAATTGTGAACACGCCAAAATGTTTATAATTTTTACTTTGAC